TTTGGGGCTCATTTTGAGCCAAGTTGCCTACTGATCTTGGAATTGTGCCATTTTACTTGCCAATCTTGGGTTCGTCAACCTCAGCAGCTGGTGAGTTAAAAGAAACCTCCAGCTCCAGGAGGCCGAGAACAAGAGGCAGAGCTGAAGCCCAAGGTCAAGGGGCCTTCACCCAGCCCCTAGAGCTGGCACTCTGAATTCAGACTTCTAGCCTCCTAAACTGTAAAACAACAAATTCTTATTTCTTAAAGCCATCCACTTGTGATATTTCTGTTATAGCAGCAAAAGAGAAATAAGCCATAACCCAGTAATGCATATTACACCAGCATCTGTTAGTTTTACAGAACAGAGAAATTTCATTTTCTGCTCAAATCTGGTAATTATTTTATCTTCCAATACCCTTATTCCCTTCTCATGCTATCTCAAACTAATGGTTAAAAAGAAGGGGGAAGGTAGAAATTATGTATTCATTATTGTGGTAGTTAATAGTTAAGGTTGTATGTCAACTTGGCTGGGACTGGTTTTGAGTGGCTGGGCAGCTGGATATAGTTATTCCTCATGATGAGACTGGTAATCAATTCCATGGTGGAATCTACCGGAGCAGGTGAGTAGCTGCCTTAGGGATGAGATCTGCTTCCAGTGCACAAGAAGATAGTTTTGTTTTTTGGCACTCTTGGATCCTGCATTTGGCCAAGTCATCAGTGTCTGATCTTGGGACTCTCTGTGGACTTGAACTAGCTGCCTGACACATTGTTTGATAATCTTAGGACTGTGTCATTTTATTTGTGGACCTTGGGTTTGTCAGCCTCAGCAGGTAGCACCTTCCTGAGTTAAAAGAAGCCTCTAGCTTCAATGGGCTAGGAGCAAGAGACAGAATTGAAGCTCAAGGTTGAGGGGCCTTCACCTAGCCCCTAGAGTTTGGCACTTTGAACTTGGACTTCTAGCCTCCTAAACTGTAAGAGAATAAATCCCTGTTTGTTAAAGCCATTCATCTGTGGTATTTTCTGTTATAGCAGCACTCAGAACCAAAACAACTGAACTCACTGCCATGGAGTCGTTTCCAACTCATAGCAACCCCCGTTGGGTTTCCAAGACTGTAAATCTTTATGGAAGTAGACTGCCCTGTCTTACTCCACAGAGTGGTTGGTGGGTTTTAACTACTGACCTACCGGTTGGCAGTCAAGTGCCTTTTCCACTACACCACCAGAGCAGCACTAGATAATCAAAACAGTTATCTACTGCAGCATAAAAATTATCCCAAAATCCAGCAGCTTCAAGCAACAAACATTATCTTTTCATTTCTGAGTCAGGAGTAATACTGTTTCAAAGTCTATCATGAGGTTCCAGTCAAGCTGTCAGCTGGGGCTGCACTCATCTCAAGACTCAACTGTTGCTGAAGGGACCACTTCCAAGATCACTCACATGGTTGTCAGCAGGCTTCAGTTACTTATTGGACCAAGACTTCATTCCTTGACACTTGGGCCTCTCAAAGGGCTGCTTATAACATGCAATTGTTTTCTCCCAGAAGGAATGATCCAAGAGAGGGAGACAGAAAAGAGAGAAATTACCAAGATAGAAGCTAGTCTTTTACAAAGTAAAAGTGACACATCATCACTTATGCTGTAGGCTATTGCTCACATACACCAACCCTGGCACGATGTAGGAGGAGCCTACACAAGGGCATGAATTCTAGGAAGCAAGGATCATTGGGTGTCATTTTAGAACTTGGCTACCACATCTGCTAAGGTTTGAATCCATTTAATCTAGAGTTCTAACCCCAAATCTGGTATCTGCTGTGTAAATTTTCTGTCTCTTACAAACAAAATGTTGTTGTTGTTGTTATGTGCCTGTCCAATCAAACCCGACTCATAGGGATATCCTAATTCAGGATCTCAATGGATAAAAGGCCTCAGGTAACTCATTCTCTCAGATTCTGAAATCCTCCCTTTTACAAGATATTATTTAAATAATAATAGCATTCAGATGATAATTACAGGGCTACCCAGGACTGGAAGCCACTTCCCCAGGTGGTTCTTTGCTTTGTGCACACCAGCCTTGCCTGTTGTTGTTGTTATGTGCCCTCGAGTGGGACCTGACTCATAGCGACCCCTCCCAGGCAATATTACTGCACAGATTGCCCAACCTTCCTTCTGAGGAGTGACTGATGGGTTTGAACCTCCAGCCTTCTGGTTAGCAGTCAAGTGCCTTAGGCACTATGCTACCAGCATGCCTTGTTGTTGTTGTTGTTGTTCTCGACCCCTCCTTGGGTTTCCGAGGCAGTATCTTAGCAGATGATTTTCCCCTTAATGAACTGCAAGTTCTTTGGTAGCCTATTGAATTGCTTTCAAATCATATCAAGAGTGTTTTCTGATGCTCAATTGATAATTCCCTCCGTTAACATAAGACTTTTTCACCTGTTTGGTCAGGACACAGGTCAGCATTTTTCTCATTATGTGTCTTAATTTATTTGAAATATTGAAACAATATGTTAGAATTGATTCAAAAAATAGGCTTATTTTCAAGAAGCTTGTTTTTCCTTTTTAGTTAGTTCTAGAAAAAGACTGTCCCTTGAGATAAGATGTTTTTAAAAGATTGAGTACATTTCTAAAGGCACAGCCATCCATCTTCAGGAAACAGGAATACTGAACAATAAGTGTAATCAATATCTGAGGTAACACTCTTTAGCATTTTTTGAAAAAAATCTACTATGCTTTATGGAAACATTTTATTTCCTTGGGTAAAAGCTGCTGGCAATGTTAGTTTCCCCTTCTGTACTTTTATTTTCAATTTACTTATACAGTTATTAAATACTGCTGATTCAACAGATTACATTTTAAAAATGTATACGTAATTTTTTTTCAACCTATCACTAAGCTGTTTACAGTCCTGGTGGCACAATGGTTAAGCACTCAGCTGCCAACTGAAAAGTCGGTGGTTCAAACCCACCCAGCAGTTTCATTGAAGACCTGGTGATCTGCTCCCATAAAGATTTGACTTGACAACATACAACAAGCCACTGTTATAGATTATAACATACAGCAATGTTAAATTTAGCAGCTCAGATTCTTAAAAGCCTTAGAACTGTGCTATACAATAAAAGGAGTCTCTGAGTGATGCAAATGATTAATGCTCTTAGCTGCTAACTGAAAGGTTGGAGGTTAGAGACCACCCAGAGGCACCTCAGAAGAAATGCCTGGTAAACTGCTACATTGGTCCAATATGATAGCCACTAGCTACATGTGGCTTCTGATCACTTGAAGCGTGACTAAGCCAAATTGAAATGTGCTGTAAGATACACACTGAATACTCAAGATTTACTAAAAAAAAAAGAATGTAAGATGTTTCAGTAACTTCTATATTGATTACATGTTGAAATAATGCTCTGAATAAATGGAATTAAATAAATACATTATTAAAATTAATTACACCAATTTTTTTTTGTTTTTTTACTTTAATATGGAGGGTTGCCAGATAAAACAGAAGACACCTAGTTACATTAGAATTTCAAATGTTTCTACATGGGACACAGTTAATACTAAAAAATTATCTGGTGAGTTTATCTGAAATTCAAATTTAGGTGAGTGTCCTATATTTCTGTTTGCTAACTCTGGCAACTTTATTAATATGGCTACGAGGAAATTTAAAATGACAAATGTAGTTCTTTTTCCAACTGGGCAGCACTATCTTAGAATCACCTATTTACTATTATTTTTTTTATTGCCAGTCAACTTCTGAGTTACTTCTGAGGAGAAGTTAGTAAAGGGAGGGAAACATTAAATAAGAGTGAATTCTTCAATTACCTTGAAGTTAAACTTCTACATATGCTTCAACAAAATACGGAAGACAAAACACAGTTAACAAAATATGGAAAGGGCATTTGGATTAGAATTCAAAATCATTGCTCGCTGCCTCTCTATTGGGGTAGTTAACAGTACCGGTTTCAAATAATCAGTCACTTTTATAAGGATGGGCAGTATCAAGGGCAGCAAACTAACAGTGAGACATGTTGTTGTTGTTATATGCCCTCGAGTCGGCCCCGACTCATAGCGACCCCTCCTTGGGTTTCTGAGGCAGTATCACTACGGAAGTAGGATTGCCCAACCTTCCTTCCGAGGAGTGGCTGGTGGGTTTGAACCGCCAGCCTTCTGGTTAGCAGTCAAGTGCCTTAGACACTATGCTACCAGAGCTCCTAACAGTGAGACATAGGCCAGTCGTATTACGCCTATTGCTGTGTACCGTCGAGACGGACCCGACCCATAGCGACCCTTCCTTGGGTTTCCGAGGCGGTATCACTACAGAAGTAGATTACCCCATCTTCCTTCTGAGGAGTGGCTGGTGGGTTTGAACCGCCAGCCTTCTGGTTAGCAATCAAATATCTTAGGCACTACATTACTATAGGCTTCGGCAAAAGGAGAGGCTCTGACTGCCCTTTCCAATTTTAACAGGCGAGGGAAATTTTTAATACTTAAGCCTTGCTGTCCGCTCACCCCATGCACACTAGGCCCACGGCAGAGCAACCAGTTCAGCCTCACAAGCGCGGAGACCACAAGTCCCGCTGTCTTTCTAAACCGAGCCTGGACTACCTCGGCTATATCGTCGGGGCTTGACCCGCCGACCTCAAGTCAGCCGGGAGCAGCTGCCGGGTCCAAGCCTCAGGTGCAGACGGCAACCAAGCCAGCCCACCCGCCATCATGCCCTACCCAGGCTCCGCCCCCATACGGGCCGCACAGGCAGCCGGCGGGGCGGGCCTTACGGCCCAGGCTCAGAACCCGCCCCGGCCTCGCGCCCTATGTAAGGCCAGCCCCGGGGGCGGAGGCCGCTGTGGCGGCGGGAGCTCGCTAACCCGCTTGGTCTGCTGATTGTCCCCTGGTAGTCACTCGGTTTGTCGGGTGGTGGGCGCCCCGCGCGCACGCGCACACGCACACACGCCCGCCGCGCCCCGCCTCCGCGTGCCCCTGTGTCCCTCGACCCCGGGCCGAGCGGAGCCGGCAGCTGTGGGAAGTATGCGGGACTACGACGAGGTGACTGCCTTCCTGGGCGAATGGGGACTATTCCAGCGCCTCATCTTCTTCCTGCTCAGCGCCAGCATCATCCCCAACGGTTTCAACGGTCTGTCATCCGTGTTCCTGACGGCGACCCCCGAGCACCACTGCCGGGTGCCGGACTCTGCGAACCTGAGCAGCGCGTGGCGCAACCACAGTATCCCGCTGAGACTGCAGGACGGCCAGGAGGTGCTCCACAGCTGCCGCCGCTACAAGCTTGCTACACTCGCCAACTTCTCGGCGCGCGGTCTGGAGCCAGGGCGCGACGTGAACCTCACGCAGCTGGAGCAGGAGGGCTGCCTGGACGGCTGGGAGTTCAGCCAGGACGTCTATCTGTCCACCATCGTGACCGAGGTGGGTGCCACCCTCACTCCCGGAGTGGAGGGCATGCTCCCAGTCCTTGAGTGCATGGCCCCACCCCATGTACGCGCCGGACGCTGTCACTCCTTCTATTACAACATATTACTCCCTGGTCCTGGGTATCCTCCAGCCAGGTGTCTTGGGAACACTTCGCAAAGTAATTTCAGCCGCACAGTGCCCCTCACAACAGAATTATAAGGCTGGCCACCCATCCTAATGACCACTCATCCTGATGGCCACCTTAGGCAGGGAGCCAAGAAGACTGGTGGCCCAAGGAGATGCTCCAAAGGCGCCTAAAAGTCCTGAGTGGTTCAGAGTTCCTCTGGGTGAAGGTGGGAGCTGTGGATCAGAGAGCCAGGATCACAGGATCAGGCCAAGGGGCTGTCACAGTTTTTCCTCCAGCTTCTTGTCATCTACCCAGAGAGAGGGGAAATATTCTTTCTCTTTCCTGAACTTTTAAAGTTAAAGAAAGCATGTGTATAAAACTGTCTCTTTCCACTTTCTTCCAATTACTCCCTCCCCTTATCCATCCTTACCCCAAAATGACATTCTGACTGTGTCCCATAAGGAATTGTTTACTTTTTGCTTGTGATCAGTTATCAGTCCTTTAGGATCCACACATCTCTTCAGTATGTCCTGTTGACCTGGAGTGTTTCCTAGGATATTCTGAAGCAAAATCAGGAGGGGTCTCTATGACTCAGAGATGACTCAATGGCACATAGCAACAACAGATTTAGTTAAAGCATATGGCCTCGGTTCTTGAGAAAGTGAGAGAAGACCTTTCCCATATCCTAGCCTCCTGGACTTTCCTTTTGGGTGACTTTGTCTGTCCCTATATGCACCTGCGGTCTATGGGACTGGATGTGTGTGTGACATGATGCTCCTGGTTGCATGTGGATATGTTTTGTGTCTTACTCTGACACTGGCACTCTGTCTCCCAGGAGTTTCAGCCGAACTGAGCAAGCAGGGCAGTGAAAAGAGCTCCCCTAGAGAGGCATCAGAGCACCAGGTTTACTAAGTGTCAGGCCCCTGCCTGTTTGGTGACTGGCACACTGTCTGTCCTTAAAGCACCATAGTCAGGAGGGAAGACAGACCAGTAGATAGTCACAGTACTCCATGGTATGCACCAAGATAGGATATACGTGGGGTCTGTGGAACACAGGAGAGCCATCTCTCCAGCTTCACAGATTAGGAAAGTCTTCCTAAAGGAGGAAGCCGAGTCAGTGAGTCTGGGGTGTTCCTATGGCAGAGTACTGAGGTGAATGTCCAGAGGTGATATAAGGTCTGGAACCACAAGAAACTCAGCATAGCAGAAGAGCAAAATTCACAGGTAGGAGGCTAAAAGTCAGGGTAGCACAGGTCCTGGTATGTTATCCAACCATGCTGTAAGCATGTACGGAGAGTTCCTCAAAGAGATGCATAAGGGCCCTGGAGGCCCCAGGTATGTTACCTCTGGGGGCCAATACCTCTCAAGGGTATCTGAGAGCTGACCCTAGAGACTCACTTGTCTGTGCCCGTGTGTTCATATGTGTGTGTGTTCTCTATGGTTGGACATTTGCCCCCATCACTTGGCCCACTTAATCCATCAACATGTAGTAGGAGTGTAACCTGAGCCCCACTGTGATTTCCTAGCAAGTTGACATTATGATGGTGTTCTGAACCATCATTGCTTAAATAAAGAGAAGGAAATCAGTTAGGTTTGGACCTGGAACAATGATTGGAGGTAGCAGACTATGTAAGAGTCCAAGAGTCCATGGAGAATCAGAACTTCCAGTTGATGTAAATCTTGGGTCCTAGCCTCACAAATGAGACTGTTCCCCTCCTGGAAGCCAGTGATAGCAGAGGCTATCCCTGGGGTAGTAGGCAGAGGCCACAGGTGGGGAACCAGACTCCATGACATGGGAAATGCTGTAAATTTTGCTCTGGCTGCCCAAGGAGGGGGGAAGCAGTGAGGTCAGAAGACGCTCTTAGCATCTCTTTGGATTTTATTCTGATCCCTGAGAGCCCCTTGGCTTACAGTCATCATTTACTCCCACTTCTCTGGCCCCATCCTGCCTTCTGCAGAGAATGGTGGTGGCACTGAGCTTCCCAAAGCTGGCTGTGCCAGGCGAGTTCCTGAGTTACATTTCTGCCAACATTAACCTTTAGTTTTTGTATTTGGCCATTTATTTAGCTGCCTCAGCAGTTTCATAAGAACTGTATGCCCTTTCAGTGGGTCCTGGTGTCACAGTGGTTAAAGCTCTCCTCCACTAACTGAAAAGTTGGCAATCTGAACCCACCAGCTACTCTGTGGAAGAAAGATGGTAGCAGTCTGCTTCCTTAAAATGTATAGCCTTGGAAACCCTGTGGGGCATTTTTACTTAATAGGGTCATTATAAGGAGCTCTGGTGGTGCAGTGCCTAAGGCATTTGACTGCTAACCAGAAGGTTGGCTGTTCAAACCCACCAGCTGCTCCATGGAAGGAAGATGGGGCAATCTACTTCTGTAAAGATTTACCACCTAGGAAACCCAATGGGGGTCGCTATGGGTTGGAATCAATTCGATGACAGTGAGTTTGGATTTTTTTTTTTTTTAATGTCATTATAAGGAGCTCTGGTGGTGTAGTGTTAAGGGATTTGGCTGCTAACCAAAAGGTTGCTGATTCAAACCCATGGGCTGCTCTGTGGAAGAAAGATGAAGCAGTCTGCTTCCGTAAAGATTTACAGCTTTGGAAACCCAGTGAGGGTTGCTATGAGGCGGAATTGACTTAATGGCAGTGAATTTAGGTGGGTTTTATATATATATATATATATATATATATAAAGTCACTATGAGTCAGAATCTATTCCATGTCAGTGGGTTGGGTTGGGTTTGGTGTGCCCTTTCACCTACTTAAAGATTGTCAGTCTTTGCAGAGAAGAATAATTAATACTTTACTTAGTCCTTTGTTTTGGGATGCTGGAATGCATAACTTCCAGGCTGCTTGTTTCTTTCAGGTACACAGTCATTGTTGGAAACTGTTGTATCAACATTCTAATTGGCTCTGTTTTTCTAAGACCCATTTTCTTTCAACCCAGAGCTGGCCTGCTGACCACTGCCACTAAACCTATGCCTGCTCAATGTCTCCAAGCTTGCCCTCTGCCCTAAATCATACGTAGATGTCTTTGTAAGTACATTGGTAATGAATTCCTATTCTGTTTTTCAACTTGGGCTTCAAACCAGTTCCTTCCATTTCAGTAGTGGTCGATGAAATGAAACCAGAATGGACCTGAATTTGTAAAATGTGGTTGTACCAGAATGGGAAAAATTATGGGTGGATATCCTGCTAGAAACTTATTCTCCTTCTTAGAAATCAAAGGCAGCATGCAGTTTGCATAGCAACCAAATCTCTTGACAGGCAGAATTAGAAACCAGTGCCCAGTTCAAAGATGGTAGCTGACTACACTGCTTTGAATGTATGTCACTTTCCATAGTCTTGGCAATAACCCACTGTCCTGCTTCAGGCTCCTGAAAGGGCTTACTACACTTTGGAGTCTCCGATTCCAGAGCTTCAACCTGTAATTTTTCCTGTTTGGTCCACCCACGTTTTACAAATCCAGATCTGTCCCAATTTCACTGTATCAGCCATGACTGAACCATTTTGAAGTGGTTTAAAGCCCTGTTTTCAACAGAAGACTAAAACCTTAGGTCTCTTGTTCAGTTTTTTTCTTTGTTGCTGTTAAGCTTATACATGTACCACTGAACTCTACAGTAGATATATATCTTTGTATCTTTCACAATTCTTGCCACAATGCTAGATACTGGGTACTGGGAGGGGGTTCAGGAAAAATTTTATTGAGTGAATTAATGAATACTTTAAGAAATATTCTCTAAAATTTGAGAAACTCAATATAAGGACAGTTTAGAGTTGATGAAAAGAATTGACTGGAATATTTTAAAGGAAATGTAATCCCCCACCCCATTGACTATGGCTTAGCCTGGTGGATCTGGAGCAAGATGATGGGATGACAGAAAGAAGGAGACACTATGAGGTGAAAGAGGTTTGTCCTCCATGTTTCAGGAATAGTTTAGTGGTTCACTTGCTTCTAGGCTGGCCTGGCCTCCTCCTCTGGCCCCTCAGCTGTCCCCGGAACCTACATTGCTCCTTCAGTCCCTGCATACTTCTCAGCCCAAGACGGCCCCCTCCAACTAGCCTGGAACTGACACCCTGGATGACAAGTCTGATAGCTAACCACAGGGCAAGGAGTAGGAAAGCAAATAAAATACTCATTCTAGAAAATGAAGTTCAAAGTTCATCTAGGCTTCATTTGCCAGGTCCATAGATCAAGCCCAAAGGATACTATAGTATTGAAGGTTGACATCCTTCCATTTACTCATTCATTTATATACCACACATCTATTGGTCCTTTCCTCTATGCAGAGCACTGTCAGGCATTGTAGGGTTGTGAACACCTCTTCTTCTTGCCTTAGGGTGAGGATTGGATAGGGACACCATTGATTGCATCAGGAGGCAGGACAAAATGTACGTAGGGATACATGGTGTTCAGTAATATGTGGTGCTAACCAGTGTATTTGACCTGTGTAGGGGTCAGGCATGGTTCACCTCAGGGAACAGCCTCTGCCCTGTGCACACTGACCGTACCTCAATTCTCTTCCAGCCAAATCAGAGTAAGAACATTTAGACCCAGGGTTATCTCTCCATTTCCTATAACTAAAATGTACCACTAATTATGTACTGTGCACGAAAAGCACATTTCTGTCTTTGTTTTAAATACTTCAACAGATTTATTGTGATAATTGACATAAAATAAACTGCACATATTTAAAGTACACAATTTGAAAATATTTGACACATACGTACACTGTGAAACCATCACCCTTAGAAAGGCACACTTCTGACCAGGAGGGATGGAAGGCCAAGTCTCTTCCAGAGTTACTGTTTTTAAGTTGGGATTGTTTTCACAGCAAAAGTCCCTGGGTAGTGCCAATAGTTAAGTTCTCAACTATTAACTGAAAGGTTAGTGGCACAAATCCACCCAGAGGCACTTCGCAATAGAGACTTGTTGGTCTTTTTCGGAAAGATTACCAAAAAAAACGTGCTGCCATTGAGTTGCTTTCCAAAAGATTATAGCCATTGAAAACCCTATGGAGCATAGTTCTACTCTGAAACACATGGGGTCACCATGAGTCAGATTCAATTCAGCAGCAGCTAGTTTGGTTTGGTTTTTGGCTCTTACAGCTCATCTAGCTGACTTAGATTTGTGACCTAAACTTGTGACCCACGCATTAACATGGGTGTCAGCCAATACAGCTCATCCATGTACCAAGTGGACTCATCAATGAGCTGGTCTGTAGCTGCTTTTGTTATGACTGGGAAACCAGGTCAATAGGAACACTAGACTCTTTTATAAACGTATTAAGCATAGCGTATGTAGCCTGAACTCTGTGGGCTTCCCATCCTACCCCTTCTCAGGAGGATTCAGGTGAAGCTTGGAACCCACTGTAATCCATCTGGTGGCCAACAAGTGAGGTGAGTTGACTGGGCTGGGAGCCATTCCATGTCTGTCCTTGAGTTCATTTTTGAGGTCTTCATTTTTCCTGACCCCACTTTTAGTTGGTAGTAAGGAAACACTAAGTGCATGTTTGCATTTGGAGGGCCCAAAGCCAGGTCCTGAGAATGATCAAAGACTGTCAGTGGTGAGTAAAGGGCACAGTTCCTCCTGGCCTTATCACAGTTGCCCAGAATAAGGACAGGCTAGACCAAGTGGAGGAGATGAGGCTGCAGGAGCCTGGGAGGTGTTGAGGACCTGTCCCAAGACACGCACTGCAGTCACCCTGCCTTCCACCAGGTGTGGCCTGACATGGTTTTAGGTAGTGCCTGGCCTTGCCAACCCAGGATTCCCTAGAAACCTGATGTTGGGGATCTGAGCTAAAGGGGAGGGCTGCAACCTCAGAACTCACTGTGTAAGCCCTTTTGGATTTCTAGTTTAGCTTAACTATACCAGTCTTCAACCTTTATGATAGACCTATCGAGAAACAACTGCTGATTCTTTATTTTTTTCATCTTTGTTGCTACAAAAGTAACGCCTGCTAGCTGTGAAATAGACCCCATCACATTAAAGCATGGCAGTAGCCGTAATCTGGCCTAACACTCTGCCTAAGACCGGTAGGCCAGTACACTGGAATGTAGAGAAGGAGGAGAGATCCCCATCACTGGATTCCCCCGCTTTGTCTCCCCTGTTACTCCTCTTCCTGGCTTTAGCAGCCCTATCTGGATGGAGACTGCCCCAGAAGCATTCCTCCATATACCAGAGAAATGGAATATGAGGCTGTGGTGGTAGGGCCCGAAACAGCTGGGCTACATAGCCTGAGCATTCAAACCTTGGTACAGTCTTGACTCCTGGTAGTCTGGGATTCCTCAGGATTTGAGGGTTGGGCATCCTCAGTTCCTCTCTGGGGCAGTATCACCACCCCACTCTTAGCTTCTCCTTGTGCTTGCTTATTCTACAGTGGAGAGCCAACAGAGCCTCAGTGATCCTTATCACCATCAGCTGTGACATTCTTCACGCCCAGCAGCCCTCTCCCCCTTACCCAAATGTACCTACAGGCTATGTGTGCACACTGCCATAGCAGGGCACTCAAGTAAACCAATTTTTCCCTCCATCACTGGCCCAGAAGAAATGCTTTCTTCAAGGAGGCACATACTGCTCCTGCTTCTGTTGGTTACTGAGACGGCAGGGGGCATGGGGCGGGGGCGGGTAGAGGGTGCAGCAGACCAGCAGCCTGGCACCAGGTACACAGAAGGGTGAATTCCCTGAAGGTAGGTGTTCATGTGAGAAGCCTGCAGAGCTTCCTAGTTATTACTAAGCATCTCTGTTCTGAGAAGCGTTTTTCTGGGAAAACAAGTTTCCTGTTTTGACTTTTCTTCCTTTTTATGAGGCTGGGCCAGCCTAATGTGTGAGTGCCCAGCTACTTCTCCTGTGGGCCCATCCCAGGCCCACAGATCCCTTTTCTTATTCATGGTAATAAAGGTGGGACCACACATTCAGTTCTGGAAACTACAGGACTACAGCCTATTCTCTACCCCATCCCTGTTTTACAAATGGGCAATCAAGGTACTGGGAGAGAAGAAGAAAAACATATTTTGAGGTTAAGAGTAGAATGGAAGCTAGAACCTAGTTTCCTGACTCCTAACTCAGAGTATTCTGCCATGATCAGACCCAAATGTTGTTAGTGTGCAGAGTCAGGGACTCCAACTCAAGATGTCACCAGAATGAGTTAGAAACCATGAGCTCAGGGTAAGGGCCTGAGCATAGCTGGCCCCAGTCTTCTTGCTGCGTTGACTGTTAGAGGCTCAGAGCCCTGCTTCAGAGTCATTCCTATGCCATTCACACCCATGGCCTGAACCCCACTGAGCAAGGAAACCATGGCCCAGCCACAACCTTAGGTGTCTGTCCAGATTCTTAGAAGCAAACATGAGAGACTTTGCCTTTTCCTCAGGACTGGCACGCGGGCAGAGTGCTTGCTCCCTGCCCTCCAAATTGGAAGTGAGACACTGGGCTGAGAAACATCTCCCTACAAGATGGGACCTGCTCTTTGCTTTGCTACCCAGGGGAGCCATTGCCTAAGTGAACTGACACATGCATACTATATAATGTAAACAGAACATGCAGGGATGCAGAGTGTTCTCATTTAACTTTCCAAGAAGTCTTAGAATTTAAGAGTTAAAAAAGAAGTGAATGATACATCCCTTTGCTCCTCTTTACAGTGGAACCTGGTGTGTGAGGACGACTGGAAAGCCCCGCTCACGATCTCCTTGTTTTTTGTGGGTGTGCTGGTGGGCTCCTTCATTTCAGGGCAGCTCTCAGACAGGTAAGGTCTCTATCTTCTGCAGCTGCAGGGGACCCCATCACTGAACAAGGAGCTTGTGCCTGGCCCTTGGTAGTTGGTAGTGTTCTCTCAACCCAGGAGCTTGCATTTTACAAGAAGGGGAAGCTGTGTCCTTGGTATAGATGCTATACCAAGTAAAAGAGCCAACAGCCACCACTCCCTAATCCTTGCTGAGTAAAGAAACATGAGCCATTCAAGCCAGGTGTATCCATGATCCAGGTAACTAGGAAATATGCCATGATTCACTTCTGCATTAGCCTGGCTGGCCTTCCCTTGTGAACATGACTATCTCACGTCCTCAAGTATGGGAGAGGTTGACACTACACACATGTACGTGTTCTATACTGTAGATCTTCAAGTGGTACCAGAGATGCCTATCTTTCCATTTCTAAGAATAGCTGTCTGTTGGCAAAGTGCAAGGCGATCTTATTAGCCAGTAGTAGAGAGTGATGGGCAGAACTTTTGTGTCCAGAGAGCTGATCCCCCTTAGCTAAAGAGGCCGGTGGTTATGGCTCTTACTTTACAACAAGGAAGAAGAGTACTGCTTTGACCCATTTCTTATAAGTGGGTTATTTGTTCAAATCTAGGACTTTTAGGTCAAGGTCAAATAATGGTTTTAGGGAGTCCATAAACCTTTGAAATTATATGCAAAATTTTAGAGATTATATATATATGAGTATTTTTCTAGAGAAAGGCCATAGCTTTCATCAAGTTCTCAGAGGGGTCCATTATGTTGTATCTTCCTAACTGAGAGCTTCATGTTGTTTTGGGAAAAAGAGGCTGTTAGGAAGGTCCTTGGTGCTACATGAGAACACCCACTGAACCATTGGTCACCAGTAAAGAGTCCCAGCATCCTCCTAGCTATTTGGGGCTTCTGCCTAAGATTTCTAATAGAGGAGTTCAAAATAAGAATGTCATCCTAAAAAACAATCATTTTATCCTATAGCACAAAAAAATATTTTGGCATACTTACATCTATGGATTAATTGTCTTTATCTGAGAAGTCTTTCCTAATGAGAAATTTAAATATGTGTACTGCTCACTAGATTTGGGTGCTCTGGTAGCATAGTGGCTAAGGCACTTGACTGCTAACCAGAAGGTTGGCGGTTCAAACCCACGAGCCACTCCTCAGAAGGAAGATGGGGCAATCTACTTCCGTAGTGATACTGCCTCGGAAACCCAAGGAGGGGTCACTATGAGTCAGATGTGACTCG